CGCCCCTGTATTTTAGGCAACCCATCATTCGTGAATCGGAAAACAAACATAACCTTATCTGAAAACTCTGTAATCAGCCTTTACAGTTATTACTCTGTGCAAGTTTTCTTTTGTCGAACAAATCTTTAAAATTTAGAAAAAATCTTTAATTATTGGGAAATTTTGCAAAATTTAAATAATATTTAAACGTAATTAACATTATTTACAGTGTTTAAAAATGATAATTATTAATATGTCGTAATTAAACCTAAAACCGCTCTCCTAAAAACGTTACGTTATTTAAAAACAATTCAATTTCTTGAAATTTTGTTAAATTGACCCTAAAAATTTGCAATTTTCCAGCTTGAATTTGAAAAATAATTTTGGCAATCTCGATGACGTTACTGTCACGTGAGCTACCTGCGCAAACGTCACATATTTCTATATTTCGCGTTCAGTTTTGATTTCGGTCTAGTGGCAGCAACATCCGAGCATTCGGAGCTCCGTTTCGAATTAAAAATAGAACGTTTTCTCGAATTTTAAAGTTATTTCTAATAAATATTGCTAAAAATGTGCTCTGAACACGACGGAATGTGGATATTTTTGCAAAAAGGACCGTTAACAGCGTAAGTATGATTTTAGTATTAATTTATCGGCGTCCGTGATTCGTATTTTGACAAATCTCTAAATTTTTGGGAAATTTTGCAAGACTAAATAACATTTAAACATGAAGTTATTAAAAACAGTTCAATTTGTTTCAACAACGTTAAATTAACCCAAAAATGTGCTATTTTCCGGCTGAAATTATAAAAATAATTTCTGCAATCTCATCATGGCGTACGATGACGTCACGGTCACGTGAGCTACCTGCATAAAGGTCACTATTTCGCTCCTTTATGTTCAGTTTTGATTTCGATCTGATGGCGACGACTTCGGCGTGTCGTTTTGGTGTAAAAATTACACGTTTTCGTCAATTTTAATGTTATTTCTAATAAATATTATTGAAAATGTGCTGTATTGGTGCTCTGAACACGAGGGAATGTGGATATTTTACCAAAAAGGACCGAAAACAAGGTAAGTACAACCTGAATGTGAATTTATCGGCGTCCGTGATTCGTATTTTGACAAATCTCTAAATTTTTGGGAAATTTTGCAAGACTGAATTATATTCAAACATAAAGTTATTAAAAACAATTCAATTTGTTTAAACAACGTTAAATTAACCCCAAAAATGTGCGATTTACGGCCAAAATGATAAAAATAATTTCTGCAATCTCATCATGGCGTATGATTCCGTTACTGTCACGTGAACTACCTGTATAAAGGTCACAATTTCGCACCTTTGTGTTCAGTTTTGATTTCGATCTGATGGCGACAACTTCGGCGTGTCGTTTTGGTGTAAAAATAACACGTTTTCGCAATTTTAAAGTTATCTCTAATAAATATTGTTGAAAATGTGCTGTTTTGGTGCTCTGAACACGACGGAATGTGGATATTTTTCCAAAAAGGACCGAAAACAAGGTAAGTACGATTTGAATTTGAATTTATCGGCGTCCATGATTCGTATTTTGACAAATCTCTAAATTTTTGGGAAATTTTACAAGACTAAATAACATTTAAACATGAAGTGATTAAAAACAAGTAAATTTGTTTAAATAACATTAAATTAACTCTGAAAATGTGCAATTTTCCGGCTAAAATTAGAAAAATAATTTCTGCAATCTTATCATGGCGTACGATGACGTCATTGTCACGTGAGCGACCTGTATAAAGGTCACTATTTCGCACCTTTGTGTTCAGTTTTGATTTCGATCTGATGGCGACAACTTCGGCGTGTCGTTTTGGTGTAAAAATAACACGTTTTCTCGAATTTTAAAGTTACTTCTAACAAATATTAATGAAAATGTGCTGTTTTGGTGCTATGAACACGACATAATGTGGATATTTTTCCAAAAAGGACTGGAAACAAGGTAAGTACTATTTGAGTATTAATTTATCGGCGTCCGCGATTCGTATTTTGACAAATCTCTAAATTTTTGGGAAATTTTGCAAGACTAAATCATACTTAAACATGAAGTTATTAGAAACACTTCAATTTGTTCAAACAACGTTAAACTAACCCCACAAATGTGCAATTTTCCGGCTAAAATTAGCAAAATAATTTCTGCAATCTCATCATGGCGTACGATGACGTCACTGTCACGTGAGCTGCCTGAGCAAAGTTCACTATTTCGCTCCTTTGTGTTTAGTTTTGATTTCGATCTGATGGCAACAACTTCGGCGTGTCTTTTTGGCGTAAAATTAACACGTTTTCGCGAATTTTAAAGCTATTTCTAATAAATATTGTTGAAAATGAACTGTATTATTGCTCTGAACACGGCGGAATGTGGATATTTTTCCAAAAAGGCTGAAAACAAGGTGAGTACTATTTGAGTATTAATTTATCGGCGTCCGCGATTCGTATTTTGACAAATCTCTAAATTTTTGGGAAATTTTGCAAGACTAAATCATACTTAAACATGAAGTTATTAAAAACACTTCAATTTGTTTAAACAACGTTAAACTAACCTCACAAATGTGAAATTTTCAGGCTAACATTAGCAAAATAATTTCTGCAATCTCATCATGGCGTACGATGACGTCACTGTCACGTGAGCTACCTGTATAAAGGTCACTATTTCGCACCTTTGTATTCAGTTTTGATTTCGATCTGATGGCGACAACTTCGGCGTGTCGTTTAAGTATATAAATAACACGTTTTCACGAATTTTAAAGTTATTTCTAATAAATATTGTTGAAAATGTGCTGTTTTGGTGCTCTGAACTCGACGGAATGTGGATATTTTTCCAAAAAGGACTGAAACCAAAGTAAGTACTATTTGACTATTAATTTATCGGCGTCCGCGATTCGTATTTTGACAAATTTCCTAATTTTTGGGAAATTTTGCAAGACTAAATTATATTTAAACATGAAGTCATTAAAAACAAGCGAATTTGTTTAAACAACGTTAAATTAACCCCAAGAATGTACAATTTTCCGGCTAAAATATGAAAAATAATTTCTGCAATCTCATCATGGCGTACGATGACGTCACTGTCAGGTGAACTGCCTGAGCAAAAGTCACTGTTTCGGTCCTTTGTGTTCAGTTTTGATTTCGATCTGATGGCGACAACATCGCCGTGTCGTTTTGGCGTAAAAGCAACAAATCTTTGAGAATTTGTAATTTATTGTTAATAAATATTACTGAAAATACTTTGCGTTGGTGTTGTGAACACAAAGGACATTTTTTCAAAAATTACCGATTTTTCTTTTAATTTATTTTAAAATATGCATCAAATCACGGCATTCAGCATCCATAAAATACGGCATTAGAATATCCTCTCTTTTCATGGCGAGACGCGCTCCAGCCTCCTCGTATTGTTTGGTTCTTGCCGGGCAACAGCAACGAGCGATCAGAGTCATCGCTCTTTGGTGGCAAAAGTGGAGCACTTTGTATATTGTAACTTTTGTAATTGAACCATTTTGTATTGTATATTGTATGTGTTACTAACTTAACTTCGCAACAGTGGTGTAAATGTTTTGTTTGTTTTCTTGGTGTACTTGCTTGGGTATTAATTTTGCAACAGTGCATCCTTTGGTTCCCAATTCGATTTCTGCATGTCGTCAGAAGCTCTTCGCCCTGGAGGGTTTTGTCGGCCGTTAGACGCTGGGTTGCATCTCTAAGACGTAAGACGGCCTTGGATTTATCGGCTGCGTTCCTTTCTTGGGCGTGGGAGTACTGCGATCTTATAGATTTCGTTGCGAGTTCCATCGGGTGTGCTTGCTTGGGTATTCATTTGTCTCGATTTTTGGTGCTAGATTTCTTTTGATTTTGTATGTCCTTGCAACTGTATTGTATCTGTATCCTGTATTTTAGCTCTAGTGTATCCTCTATTGTAACTGTATTGTATATTGTATTTCTATTGTACTGTACTGTATAACGTTCTTTTCCTCATTAACCAATCCTAACCCTGTCCTTTCCCGGCAAGACCTGCTCCAGACCTTCCCGTGGTTCTTGCTGAGCATCAACGATCCAGGCCAAAGAATTCAAATATTTAGAGCCAGCAAAGTTGCATAAAATTCGTGAAATTCGCTCGTTGGTGGCCAACGTGGAGCAAGGGCGACTCTTGTAACTGAAGCACTTATACTGTTTAAATATGATAAGGATAAATATGTCATACTTAAACCGACAACCGTTTTCCTACAAACGTGAAGTTATTAAAAACAATTCAGTTTGTTGAAACATTGTTAATTTAATCGACCACTTCGTATTTTACTCCGCATTTTCGCCTCTAGTTTGTAAAAAACATGTTTCCATCCCTAGTGGTATTACTATTCATAATAATTTTCATTTTGTCAAACGAAATAGGCAATTTAATAATTTGAGTTTTAAACTAGAAACCATTTCTATGCGAAATTAACATCTGTTGTCCCGTGACAGCGAGTCTTTAAACCCTTTACAATGTTGACTTCTGCCTAAAAGTCCACACACCTCCACGTAATAACCACCAACAAAGTAAACTGAATAATAGCCCGTCAGAAATAACTTATAATAAATTTTAATAACCATAATGGATTAGGTTCAGTTCTCGTCAGTTCCGAAATAAGCATGTTAACACGCGACCACGCAAGTTTATTTTTTATTCAATAAGTCGACAAAACCCTTAAGATTAAATACCGTTCTCTAACTGTTAAAAAAGCAACAAAAAATCGTTCGTGTTTCATTATTTTATAATAGTTTTTCGAGGGTTTTAACTAATGGGGCCAACTTATACCATCGCATTCTGTTGCCTAGAAATCTCTAATAATAATAATAACTAAACTATGAAATTTTACCAACATGCATTGAATCTTCTAATCTAAATAAACTTAAGAAAACTTTATGGATACACTATGACAAACTATAGTATAACGTCATTAGATCGATGAAACTCTTACTTGTGAGTGTGCTAGAACAGTGCTACTACACTAAACGAACTTACATCTGTCTCTGTAGAAGGTTTTGCCAAACAGCTTTCATTTCTGTCGTCGGCGCCCTTAACACTACCGTTCGTTTACCAGCGTTCTTCTTGGGCGTTCGCGTTAGGTCGGGGCCACAGTGCACCGTGGGGCTGCTCGCGTGTCTTCCACCAGGTGTTACCGTTATCCTAAATTCGGTATCTATAAAAAGTGGATGAGTGCATCCCCGACAAAAGGGTACGAGCAACCTTTTTTCCTAACGTTGAAGAACATGTCGGTTATGTGAGCTAGAGGTAACGGTTCTTCTATAATAAATAAAACGCGATCTCGAGACACTTTGGCAAATAATAGTAAGTCGCTAAATAGAAGCGTCCAGTATTGTCGTACATTGCGTCCTTCCACTCTTCCTAAATCACCGCCGAATATCCATTGGCGACCAGGTTTGTTTAACACGAAAGGCTAAAAGTGACAGGTTTTTGGGGGTGGTGGCTCGTTCGGGAACTTACTTTGCACTTGGTAAAAACTAATCGATTTTCTAAATCTTGTACACTTAAAAGCGGTCTGCCTTCGCCCATTGGTTCCATGAGACCTGCTTCTACTGTTATTTCTTTGTAGGTAAGCTGAAAATGACGGCGGGCCAAATTATAGACTGAGGTGTATTGTGGGTTGCGGAAGCAGATCAGCTGTGTACATTTTCGAAATTAAATTGGCGATTTTTGATTAAGTCAGACAAGTTGTATGACGTCCAGCTGGTCTGCTGGTGAGATTAAGTTCAGCTTACACAAGCGTGACCATACAAGACACAAGATTATTCTACCTGAGAAAGGCATACGTCGAATTGGCAACACCAAGTTAACGAATTTTACTCAAAAGCTAGCACCTATTGAAATAAGAGCCTTTTGTTTTCCCGAGGGGGATTCTAATCTGTCTTCAAAATTCTGAGGTTATGATAGCATGTTGTTCATATGTTGTTGATATGGCCGTGGTTGTTGAAGTCTTCATTGTCGTCCAAGTAAATCAAATTTAACTCCGAAGACCGAAAATTTTAAAATTTTTGAGATTTCTAAGGAAACCTTGACTCTGTTAAATCATACTTTCTAGTTCACGGAAATGGTATATTTTATTTGTTTATTTTTTTTAAATTGTTAAATCTTTATAACAACCAAAAAAACTGGTCGAAGTTCTGCTTCTTTGGAAAATTATAAATTTTAAATAAGAGAATTGTGACAACCTTCAGTGATGAAAAATATGCATTTGACGGAAACATAACCTGATGTATGTTATATGTTATAAGAACAGATATGCCGCTTCTGTCAAATGATATTCCAACGCCTACTATCTATGAGTGATTTTTCAACTGAACTAGTCACAGGTTTCACCTTCTTAAAAAAAACAATTGGGGCCCTCGAGAAGGTTTCACATTCTTAAAAAAAAAAGGCAATCGGGACCCTAAGAAGCCTTCATATTCTTAAAACTAAGACAAATGTCGCCGTTGATAAGGTTTCAACTTCTTTAAAAAATACTGTTTGGGTCCCCAAGAAGCCTAAAAAAAGAAACAATTGAAGACCACGAGAAGCTTTCATATTGTTCAAAAAAAAAAAACAATTGGGGCCCCCGAGAAGGTTTCACAATCTTAAAAAAAAAACTTGGGGCTTCCGAGAAGGTTTTCCCGAAAAAAAAAACAGTTGTAATCCCCGAGAAGGTTTCTTTATTATTAAAAAAAAAAACAATAATTGAGGCCCCAGAGAAGATTTCACATTATTAAAACTAAGACATTTGGGGCCCCCGAGAAGGTTTTACGTTTTTAAAAATAAGACACTTGGGACCCCCGAAAAGGTTCCACCTTTTTTAAAAAAAGAGAGTTTGGACGCTCGAGAAGATTTCAGATTCATTCTTCTTAAAAAAAAAACAGTTAGAGTTATTAAGAAGGTTCCATCTTTAAAAAAAAAAAAGAGAGTTTGGACCCTCGAGAAGGTTTCACATTATTAAAGAAACCCATTGGGACGACAGAGAAGGTTTCATATTCTTAAAAAAAAAACAATTGGGACCTCCGAGAAAATTTCAGATTCATCCTTCTTAAAAATAAAACAGTTAGGGTTCTTAAGAAGGTTTTACCTTAGAAAAAAACAATTTTGGCCCCGACAAGGTTTCACATTCTTTAAAACAAAAACATTGAAGCTCCGAGAAGGTTTCCTCTTAAAAAACTGACAGTTGGGACCCCCGAGAAGGTTTCAGACTATTAAACAAAAAACAATTGGGTCCCCCGAGAAGGTTTCACCCTCTTCAAAATAAGACACTTGGAGCCCCAACAAGGTTTCACAATCTCAAAAAAAAACATTGAGGCCCCCGAGAAGATTTTCCCCTAAACAAAAAGACAGTTTGGATCCCCGAGAAGGTTTCTTTATTATTTAAAAAAAAACAACAAATGGGGGCCCCCGAGAAGATTTCACATTATTAAAAATAAGACATTTGGGGCTCCCGAGAAGGTTTTACGTTCTTAAAAATAAGACACTTGGGACTCCCGAGAAGGTTCCATCTTATAAAAAAAAAAACAATTGGGACCTCCGAGATTATTTCAGATTCATCCTTCTTAAACAAAACATTTAGAGTTCTCAAGAAGGCCTCACCTTATTGAGACCCCCGAGAAGTTTTCACATTATTAAAAATAATACATTTGGGGCCCCCGAGAAGGTTCCATCTTTTTTAAAAAAAGAGAGTTTGGACCCTCGAGAAGGTTTCACGTTATTAAAAAAACCCATTGGGACCCCCGAGAAGGTTTCATATTCTTAAAAAAAAAACAATTGGTACCTCCGAGAAGATATCAGATTCATCCTTCTTAAAAAAAAACAGTTAGATTTCTTAAGAAGGTTTCACCTTATAAAAAAACAATTTGGGCCCCGACAAGGTTTCACATTCTTTAAAACAAAAACATTGAGGCTCCGAGAAGCTTTCCTCTTAAAAAACTGACAGTTGGGACCCCCGAGAAGGTTTCAGACTATTAAACAAAAAACAATTGGGTCTCCCGAGAAGGTTTCACCCTCTTCAAAATAAGACACTTGGGGCCCCAACAAGGTTTCACAATCTCGAAAAAAAACATTGAGGCCCCCGAGAAGGTTTTCCCCTAAATATAAGACAATTGGAATCCCCGAGAAGGTTTCTTTATTATTAAAAAAAAAAACAAAACAACAATTGAGACCCCTGAGAAGATTTCACATTATTAAAAATAAGACATTTGGGGCCCCCGAGAAGGTTTTACGTTCTTAAAAATAAGACCCCCGAGAAGGTTCCACCTTTTTTAAAAAAAGAGACTTTGGACCCTCGAGAAGGTTTCTCATTATTAAAGAAACCCATTGGGACCCCCGAGAAGGTTTCATATTCTTAAAAAAAAAATTGGGACCTCCGAGAAGATTTCAGATTCATCCTTCTTAAAAAAAAACAGTTAAGAGTTCCTAAGAAGGTTTCACCTTAGAAAAAAACAATTTGGGCCCCGACAAGGTTTCACATTCTTTAAAAAAAAACATTGAGGCCCCGAGAAGGTTTCCTCTTAAAGACAGACGGTTGGGACCCCCGAGAAGGTTTCACATTATTAAAAAAAAAACAATTGGAGCCCCCGAGAAGGTTTCATTTTCTTTAAATTAAGACACTTGAGGCCCCCGAGAAGGTTTCCCCATAAAAAAAGATAGTTGGGGCTGCCGACAAGGTTTCACATTATTAAAAAAAAAAACAATTGGGGCCCCCGAGAAGGTTTCACATTATTAAAAAAAAACAATTGGGGCCCTCAAGAAGGTTTCACCTTTTTAAAAGTAGGGCACTTGGGGCCCCCGAGAAGGTTTCACCTTTTTAAAAAAAGATAGTTTGTACGTTCGATAATATTTCACATTATTAAAAAACAAAATAATTGGGACCCTCGAGAAGGTTTTAAATTCTTTAAAGAAAACATTGGGGCCCCCGAGAAGGTTTTCTCTTAAAAAAGAGACAGTTGGGATCCCCGAGAAAGTTTCTTTATTATTGAAAAATAAGGGGCCCCCAAGAATGTTTCACCTTTTTAAAAATAAGGCACTTTCGGCCCTGAGAAGGTTTCATATTCTTAAAAAAGACAGTTGGTGTCCCGGAGAAGATTTCACGTTAAAAAAAACAACTGCGCTCCTCGAGAACGTTTCACCTTCTTAAAAAAACAATTGGGGCTCTCGAGAAGGTTTCACATTCTTAAAAAAAGAGACAATTGGGACCCCCGAGAAGGCCTTATATCCAAAAAAATAGTTGGGGACCTCGACAAGGTTTCATATTCTTATAAATAAGATAGTTGGGGCCCCCGAGAAGGTTTCACGTTTAAAAAAAAAGACAACTGGGACCCCCGAGAACATTTCACATTCTTCCTTCTTAAAAGAAATACAATTAGAACTCTTGAGGTTTCACCTTAAAAGAAAACAATTTGAAGCCACCGACAAGGTTTCATATTAAAATAAAAAAAAAATTGGCTTCCGAGAAAGTTTCACCCTTTTAAAAAATATATTCTTGGGGTTGTCGAGAAGGTTTCAGTTTTTTTAAAAAGAGAGAGTTTGGACCCCCGAGAAGGTTGCACATTATTAAAAAAAAAAAAACAACTGGGGCACCCGAAAATGTTTCACCTTCTTCAAAATATATAAGAGACTTACGGCCTCCGACAAGGTTTCACATTAAAAAAAAAAACATTGGGGCCCCGAGATGGTTTTCCCTAAAAAAAAGACAGTCGGGATCCCCGAGAAGGTTTCACATTCTTAAAAAAAAACAATTGGGGCCCCCAAGAAGGTTTCATATTCTTATAAAAAAAAACAACTGAAACCCCCGAGAACATTTCAGATTCATCCTTAAATAAAACAGTTAGGGTTCTTAAGAAGGTTTCACCTTAAAGAAAACAATTTGGGAACCCCGACAAGGTTTCACATTCTTTTAAAAAAACATGGAGGCTCCCGAGAATGTTTCCTCTTAAAAAACAGACCACCGGGAAGGTTTCAGAATATTAAACAAAAAACAATTGGTGTTCCCGAGAAGGTTCCACCTTTTTTAAAAAAAGAAAGTTTGGACCCTCGAGAAGGTTTCACCTTTTTTAAAAAAAGAGAGTTTGGACTCCCGAGAAGGTTTCACATTATTAAAAAAAAAAAACAATAGGGCCCAAGAGAAGGTTTCATCTTCTTCAAAATAAGACACTTGGGGCCCCCGAGACGGTTTCACCTACTTTAATAAAGACAGTTGGGAACCTCGAGAAGGTTTCACCTTAAAAAAACTGTTTAGGTCCCCGAGAAGGTTTCACAATCTTAGAAAGACACTTGGCTTCGGAGAAGGTTTCGCATTCTTAAAAATAATATACTTGAGGCCCCCGAGAAGATTTCACCTTTTTAAAAAAGAGCCAATTGGGACCTCCGAGAAGGCTTCATATTTTTAAAAATGAGATTCTTGGGGCCCCCGAGAAGGTTTCATCTTCTTTAAAAATGGCCCCCGAGAAAGTTTCACCTTTTTAAAAAATATATTCTTGGGGTTCTCGAGAAGGTTTCAGTTTTTTTAAAAAGTGAGAGTTTGGATCCCCGAGAGGGTTCCACATTATTAAAAAAAAACAATAGGGGCACCCGAAAAGGTTTCACCT